CCCGGCTAGTTTTTTGTATTTTTTTAGTAGAGATAGGGTTTCACCATGTTAGCCAGGATGGTCTCGATCTCCTGACCTCATGATCCACCCGTCTCGGCCTCCCAAAGTGCTGGGATTACAGGCTTGAGCCACCGCGCCCGACCAAATTTATTTAAAATAGGTGAATGTTATGGTATATTAATTACACCTCAGTAGAACTGCTAAAAAAATTAATGAGGCATATCAAAAAACACGTACCAGCTTTAAGGATATGTCCTGCCCAAATACGGCACCGTTTGGGAATAAAGACAGTCATAAATTGTAATCAGTGAAAAAAATATAGGAGTCCATGGGTCCAGTGCAATAATAAATAGAAAAATGAATGTACAGGAAGGCAGGGTTCTCCCCTCCTACAGATGACAGATAGGAGAGTTAGGGAGCTTCTGTTTTGTGTCCATGAGTGGAGGCTGGCTCCACGAATGCAGGGTCGGGAGAGAGAGGCTGGGGAGGAGGAAGAGGACATTGCTGCTCTCAGGGCGTCTCCCTGGGATTGCTCACTTGTTGCCAGTGGAAACGTAAGAACTACACGGAACACCTTGGCCAAAGGACCCATGCGAGCAGCACTGAGGAGGGGCAGCATCACCCACGCTGTTTTCCAGCAGTTGTTCAGGCTTCACGGGGATTTCTGATTGTTTCAAATTGGGTGTTTCTTTAATGGCATCAAGCACTAGTTTGTTTATGTCAATGAAATACTTGGGTTTTTTCCTAATGACTGCTTTGTAGTATAGTCTGAGGAAACACGAGAGAAGCCCTCCTTCTAGAGCACCCTCCAGGAGAAGGTATGGGTCAGCCCATCCTGGTGACCCCTCACCACTCTAGTCATGCCCAGTCCTCAGCCTGCAGCCCTCACTTGCTGGCCCCGAGCCCGGATTGCTGGCCAGTGTCCTTGGAGGACCGAATCGCCGGGAGCACCCAGTGGCCCTTGGTGTCAGCACTATACCTTCCTTTTCTGGAGGCTGCTGGTACTTGCTTTGGACCCTGAGAAAGAAGTGGGTTTCGGTAGTGGTCTGCTGAGTGGTTCTAGAACTTAGAGTCCTCAGTGGGTCGTGTGAGTCGCTGCCTGAGGTTGTGCCTGTAAACCGTTATAGGAGAAATGCTCACACCCCTTGCCGCTGTTCCCACATGTGCTCTGCTCCCCTCTGATGGATTCCACCCCTTTCCAGTTTCTCCGGATCTGCGCTGACCTCTTCCGCCTGGTGCCATTCCTCGTGTTCGTGGTGGTGCCGTTCATGGAGTTTCTGCTGCCTGTTGCTGTGAAGCTCTTCCCCAACATGTTGCCATCCACATTTGAGACTCAGTCCATCAAGGTGAGGGCGGCATCCCAACTGCTTGTTTTGGAACAAGATTGAAATTCATTGTGGTAGCTTCCTTGTTTGTGACTATTTCAAGTGCTAGACATTTTCGAGACTTTATGTATCTTCATATCGTCCTTGTGCTATGCGATAATTATTCAGTGGATGCTGGGTTTTGGATTTGTTTCTCTTTATTTATTTATTTATTTATTTATCTATTTATTTATTTGTTTTTGAGACAGAGTCTCACTCTGTCACCCAGGCTGGAGTGCAGTGGTGCGATCTTGTCTCACTGCATGCAACCTCTGCCTGCCGGGTTCAAGAGATTCTCCTGCCTCAGCCTCCCAAGTAGCTGGGATTATAGGCGTGTACCACCATACACAGGTCTTGCCCTGTCACCCAGGCGGGAGTGCAATGGCGCAGTCACTGCTCACTGCAGCCTCAAGTTCCTGGACTCAAGTGATCCTCTTGTCTTAGTTCCCAAATAGCTGGGACTACAGGCTAAGCCACCATGCCTGACTAATTTATTTTGTTTGTTTTTTATAGACAAGATCTGCTATGTTGCCCAGGCTGGTCTCAAACTCCTGGGCTCAAGTAATCCTCTTGCCATGACCTCCCAAAGTGTTGTTATTACAGGTGTGAACCACTGCTTCCAGCTCAATGTGTTTTAAAATACAGGTTTTCTAGACCAGTGTTCCTCATGCTGTAGGGGAGTTGTGAGGTCCTTCTAGGGCAGGGTCAGCCAGCTGCAGCCCACAGGCCAGATCTAGACCCTGCCTGTTCTCAGTCCCCTGTGGGAACCTGCGATGCCCAATCATGTGTCTTGTCTGTGAGGCACCAGCAGAATTAAGCAGTTGTTTTAGACCACACAGCCCATGAAGGCCAAATGCTTTCCTGTCTAGCCTGTTAATGGTAAGTGTGCCGACCTTTGCTTTAGGGGATCACACGAGTTTGTTTGTTTGTTTTTTTGTTTTGTTTTTTGAGATGGAGTTTCACTTTGTCACCCAGGCTGGAGTGCAGTGGTGCAGTCTTAACTCACTGTAGCCTCCACCTCCTGGGTTCAAGAGATTCTTGTGCCTCAGCCTCCCAAGTAGCTGGGATTACAGGTGTGCATGCCTGGCTGATTTTTGTGTTTTTAGTAGAGACGGGGTTTCGCCATGTTGGCCAGGCTGGTCTCGAACTCCTGACCTCAGGTGACCCACCCACCTTGGCCTTCCAAAGTGCTGGGATTACAGGCATGAGCCACCGTGCCTGGCCCACAGGGGTATTTTTTTAAAACCATGAAATAAAAGGGTTTGAGAATGTATTGCACTTATATGAGTCAGTGTTTTGTGAAATGTTTCTGGGGGTGGGGGTTGGGCACAAACGTGAGATGTTTTCCTTGCCCAAACCACAGTCTGAGCAGTTGGAGTGCACTCCTGGGCCCACCCTCCAGGAGGCCCCAGGGTCTAGGTGCCGGCAGGAGAGGCCGGGGCCTGAAGTGCAGTGCCCTCTCTGCCCTTGCAGGAGGAGAGACTGAAGAAGGAGCTTCGGGTCAAGCTGGAGCTGGCCAAGTTCCTCCAGGACACCATCGAAGAGATGGCCTTGAAGAACAAGGCAGCCAAGGGCAGCGCCACCAAAGACTTCTCTGTATTTTTCCAGAAGGTGCTGTGATGCGTCTGAGTCCCTGTGACCTCACCAGGGAGCCTTCCTTGCTTTTCTGTTTCCCCTTCGCTGTGCTCAGCAGAGTGAAGCTCCCCCAGGTGGCTGGCTGGCGCTTGAGAGTTTACCCAGGAGGCTCAGTTGGGGGCCAGTGGAGTGTCAGGAGTCTGGCCTCCCTGAGCTCCCAGTGAGTTGAGCTGTGGTGGCTGCTCCTCGTCAGCCTTCAGAATCCCGGGTGTCTGTGTCTCATCACCCTGCAGTCCTCCAGGCACAGTAGAATCTGACCCATGAGGGGCCCGAGACCCTGATGTTGTGAGGTGTGGGTGGCTTGGCCGGGCTCCTCTGCTGGTCACTGCCCTCTGGCTAGACTCAGTCAAGAAGGTCCCAGGTCCCAGGGGCTGGTCAGAGGCCTGGACTGTGGGAGCAGTGGAGGCTCTAGAGGAGGAGCGGCCCTCGAGGTTTCCTGTGGTCATGTGGCCAGTGAGGTGAGGATGGGGGAGAGGGTGGGTGCCATGGACAAGATCCCTGAGGACTAGATGGGGCTGACGAGGCCAGTGTCATTGGCTTGAGGGACTTGGGACACTTTGGAGTCAGAAGGATGTCTGAAGTGCAGGAAGAGCTTAAACCTGGGGCTAGAAACTCCAGCCATGCGTGTGCCTTGTCTGTGGGGTTTTCCCACTGCAACACAGAGGCGAGTGGTTTCCATGGCTGCAAAGCCAGAAATACTTGCTGTCTGACCCTTGACAGAAAAGACTGCCAGGCCAAGGCCTAACCACAGAGAAGCCTCTTGGAAGGAGGCGGCACGGCCATGGGGCTGCTGAGCCCCCAAGGAGTGGGTGGTGGTTCCAGCAAGATGTTCTAGGGGGAGCCATGCTTTGGGAGCCTCGCCCAGGATGTTGCACCTTGCAGAGCGGGAGGAGGGGCTCGTCCCAACCTTTCCTGGGCTGCCGAGCTGCCAAGAAGGACGTGCTTGTGGTCACCCGCATTTTGGTGTGCTGCGTAGGGCGGCCCCCAGGAGCACACCTGAAACCGTGTCTTGGAGCTGGCATCCTGCATGTTACGATTTGAGCTGGGCACCAAGTCAGGCTCATCCTCCCTCGTCTGTCCTCTCTGCTAGAGACCCTCCTAACCCAGCTCTTGGCAGAGACTGAGCTGGTGGCTTGTCCCTCAGGTGGGAGGAACCACAGAGGGTCACCCAAAGGGCTCTGAGTGATCTGTGCTAAGGGAATCTAGCTCTCCCTAAAGAGCTAGATGGCACACCCCTCCCCCAAGGTTCAGGCAGTCATCTGTGGGAGATGTGGGTGCATACGGGTGCACCTCTTCCTGCCCCAGAGCAGCAGGGTCCCAGCCACTTTTGTGGCAGAGAGAGGATCACAGGACCTGCATGCAGCAGCCGGTAGGCCCAGGCCTCTCCCCCAGCAGACAGCAGCCTCAGCTTTACTGACTCAGGCAGGGCTGGTCCAGAGGCCAGATACCACCTCTCCCCAGGCTAGCCCAGCACTTGAGTCAGAAGTCAGTGGTTTGAGGCTGAGCCGGGCAGATCATTTGAGACCAGCCTGGCCAACATGATGAAATCCTGTCTCTACTAAAATACAAAAATTAGCTGGGCGTGGTGGCGCAGCCTGTAATCCCAGCTACTCGGGAGGCTAAGGCAGGAGAATCGCTTGAACCCAGGAGGCGGAGGTTACAGTGAACCGAGATTACACCACTACATTCCAGCCTGGGCGACAGAGCGAGACCCTGTCTCAAAAAAAAAAAAGAAGTCAGTGGTTTGAGTCTCTGAGGATGAGAGGCAGCACCTTTTGGGAATGTGATTGGTCATGGGAGGGAGCTGGGTGGGCACGTACTCCAGGGATGACCCTTGTGACCACTTCCACAGATCCGGGAGACGGGGGAGAGGCCCAGCAATGAGGAAATCATGCGTTTTTCCAAATTATTTGAGGATGAGCTTACCCTGGACAACCTGACGCGGCCGCAGCTGGTGGCCCTGTGCAAGCTGCTGGAGCTACAGTCCATTGGCACCAACAACTTCCTGCGCTTCCAGCTCACCATGCGGCTGCGCTCCATAAAAGCAGACGACAAGGTAAGCCAGCCACACTCTGCGCCACAGCTATAGCGTTTACCTTTTTTTTTTTTCCTGATGACAAAAGCAGCGTGTCCTCATTGTAGAGACTCGGGAAGATGCTGAACAATGGAAAATAAGCTCACTAGGAGTCTTGCCACTTGCAGATTGCAGATCCTTTGAAGATGGATGTCTTTTCTCTGGCAGCTTCTCGGATGATCTCTCTGTGTTTGGATTTCATCCGTTTTACAATAACTTGCTTAGGTGTGTCTGTCTTTGTGTTCGTCCTGCTTATTGATGACGGTGCCTCCGTGCCTCTCTCCTCCCATGAGGAGGGGCCTCATCGAGGGTCCGTTTACCCCTTTGCCCTGTCCGGTCCATCGCACGCGCTTGACTGTGTTTCACGCCCTTTTGTGCTTTCAGGGCGCTGCCCTCCTTCTGGGTCTGATTACTCCTTTTTTTTTTTTTTTTGAGAGACGGAGTTTCAATCTTGTTGCCCAGGCTGGAGTGCAGTGCGAGATCTCAACTCACTACAACCTCCACCTCCTGGGTTCAAGCAATTCTGCTGCCTCAGCCTCTGGAGTAGCTAGGATTACAGGCACCCGCCACCATGCCCGACTATTTTTTGTATTTTTTGGTAGAGACAGGGTTTCACCACGTTGGCCAGGCTGGCCTCGAACTCTGGACCTCAAGTGATTTGCCCACCTTGGCCTCCCAAAGTGCTGGGATTACAGGTGTGAGCCACTGTGCCCAGCTGATTACTCTTTTATTCATATTAGGAGCTCTTAATTTAAGATTTCAGTTCTCAGGTAAAACTGTTCGTTTTGTCATTTGTCTTCTTGAACGCACTAACTCTAGTTCACATTGATTACTCTAATAACTGGGTGATCCGTAGGCCTTTTTCTTTTGCTTTCCCTTTTGATTTTGTTTGCAGTGTTTCGTTTTTCCTGGATGCAGGCGTTGTCTATGGAAGATAAAGAGGTTCAGGGCAGTGTTGGCCTCTTCCAGGAAGGGAATGCCTGCATCTCTGGTGAGCAGGTTGAGGGCCAGTCATTCCTACGAATCAAGGCAAGGCCATGTGGGAAGCCTGTATCCTGCCCTTGCTGGGACACAGCAGGCACCCTAGCCCTGGCGGGGATGGTGTCAGAGAAGGCTGAGCGGGGCCAGCCCCTGTAGTGTCAGTGGAGACCACGTCGGGGGCTTGAGCTTCCTCTCATCTGATAGTGTGTCCGCCACACTTCCCCACCGCTGGGGTGGCCTGGGGGACCCAGCGGGGAGTTGGGACTTTGACCACTGCCCAGCAGGAACAAGGCCATGTCTGCCATTGTGCCCGTGGGAGCCAGGTACTGAGATGCTTCTGCCCTCCTGCTGGGAGAGGCACCTGTGAGAGCTGGAACTCCCACGCACCTGCTCCCAGCGGTTGCAAGCAGCACCGCTCCCGCGGATGTCTGTGGAGGCTGGGTGGGGAGCCTGCACTTCTTCCGAGGCAGCGCTCCCACCACTTGTGAAATATGCCTAGGATTTAGCTTATGGATGTGAATGAGTGACAACATGGAGAGGTCAGTGCCATTGAGAGAAATGTGTTACCCACAGCTTCCCTGTCACTTGGCCCCACAAAGCCCCCACACACATGGGGAGCAGTAAGCTCGGGGGGACGATGCCTGCCTTCCTTGTGTGCAGCAGGTGGAGACATGTCTGACTGGGCAGGAAGGGAAACACAGACGTTGGGGTTTGTGGTTGGTGCTTGAAAGCTGGAACACAGGGAGGTGGAAACAGCTTTGGCCTTGTTAGCTTGGCCCTGGGATTAGTAGATGCCAGATCATCAATTGCAAACTCTGTGCAAATTAGAATACCCACCACCCATGCCACCATGCACCAGAGGAGGTCAGCTGCGACAAACTGGAAGTCAGATCTAGATTCAAGAAGCAGGAAGGTATCAGTGAATGAGAAAAGGCAATGCCTGGTATCAACCCTGAGATGACAGAGACCCTGCACCTGGGCCTCAAACAGCCACCAATGCAAAGCTACAAAAGCCACAACAGAGTAAAACACTTGAAAAATAGATCTTGGCAAAGAAAGAGAAGAAAAGATATTATTAAATATTAATATTAAAAGATAATCAGAGAAGATACTAAGGCCAGGTGCGGTGGCTCACATCTGTAATCCCAGCACTCTGGAAGGCCAAGGTGGGAGGATTCCTTGAGCCTGGTAGTTTGAGACCTGCCTGGGCAACATAGTGAGACCCCCACCTCTACAAAAAAAATTTTTTAATTAGCTGGGCGTGATGACTTGCGCCTGTAGCTCCAGCTACTCAGGAGGCTGAGGCGGGAGGATTGCTTGAGCTTGGGAGATTGAGCTTGCAGTGAGTCATGATTGTGTCACTGCACTCCAGCCTGGGCAACAGAGGGAGACTCTGTCTCTTAAAAAAATAAAAATAAAAAAGAAGAACCAAATGAAAAATACAGTATCCAAAGTCAAAACCTGGGTGGGGTCAACAGCAGAATGGAGAAGATAAAATACAGAACGAGTAAACTTTAAGATAAAATGATAGAAATTACCCATTTGAACAACAGAGAGAAAATAGTAGAAAACGTTGAACAGAGCCCCACAGCCTGTGCTGTAGCAAGTGTTGACCATCTGTGTTATCTGGTGTTCCGGGGGAGAAAGGATAGAGCGGGGCTGAAAGAGTACCTCAAGAAATAATGGCTGACTGAAAACTTCCCAGGCTCAGTTAAAGATGTAAATCTGCAAATGTCAGAAGCTGAGTGAACCCTGAATAAGATAAATCCAAAAAAATTCACACCAAGTCACATCAGAGTCAAACTAATGAACCTGAAGACAATAGTTTTAAGGCAAAGAGAGAAAGGCATAGTGTGTGTGTGTGTCTGTGTATGTGTGTGCACGCACACGTGTGTGTATGTGTGTGTGGTTGTTGTTTCATTTATGAATGCCAGGTCTTTTTTTGGGTTTTGGGAGAGATGGTGTCTTGTTCTGTTGCCCTGGCTAGAGTGCAGTCCAGTGGCACAATCTCAACTCACTGTAGCCTTGACCTCCCAGAGCCAAGCCATCCTCCCACCTCAGCCCCCCGAGTAGCTAGGACCACAGGTGTGCGCCACCACACCGGCTAGTTTTGTTTATTTTTCTTGTAGAGATGAGGTCTTACTATTATGCTGCCCAGGCTGGTTTGAAACTCCTGGGCTCAAGTGATTCTCCCACCTCGGCCTCCCAAAATGTTGGGATTACAGGCGTGAGCCACTGTGCCTGGCCAAGAACGACATCTTTACTATTAGGGGAAAAGTTGAATGACAATGGATTTCTGCAGGAACTGTGGAGACCACAGGACGTGGAGCATTATTTTTCAATTGTTAAAAGAACTGTCAACCCAGGATCTATCACCAGCAAAAATATAGCGATGACGGGGAGCCAAGGCAGTATCAGAGGGAAGGAAGCTGCGACTGTCACCAGCAGACCTCCCCTAAAGGAAGGGCTGAGGGAAGTTCCTCGACCAGAGAGGAAACAGTAAGAGAAAGTACCTCGTGGCAGCAGAAAGAGTTCCCAGCAACCAGAGGGAGGGTCGGCACAGCAGGCTGCGCTCTCCCTGCACCTTCTGTAGCAAGCGAGGCTGAGGGACGTGCTCCGTGGTGGGGTGGAGGTGACGACGCGGTGGAGGCGACAGCTGAGAACAGACGGAGGGGAGGCTTCAGTGCTTGCCTTCGTGGGGGAGTGCTGACCCCACCGCACTGCAGTGAGCTGCGCCCGTGGATTGTGTGTCGCGATCCGCAGAGCAGCACTAAAAATGCTGCACAGAGACTCAGACCCCCAGAGCGAAATCTAACAGAGGTCAGCCAGTCCACAGGAGGACAGGGAGGAGAAAGCAGACAGAAAGAGCTTCATTGCTGATCAACCAGAGGAGCCCAGCTCGGTGGGCGAAGGGTTTGGCTAAGGAGGGCACGCGTACTGTGGAATGCTGCATGGCAGTGAGAGGCCTAACCTGGCACACCCACAGCACCCCCAGTGGGTCCTCGGAACCCCAGAGGTGACGTCCTGCATGATCCTGTTCAGAGAGCACTCCAGGTGACAGCTGCAGACGTGGAGACAAGCATATCTGAATGGACAGCACCGGGAGCTGGGGAAGGTGGCCTCTGTCTTGACTGAGTGGGTGGCATGTGCTCATTACAGTGCTGCTGGTGAGACATTACACTAGGGGAGGCATCTTATGCACAGGAGCTCTGTTACTTGTTAAAACTGGATGTGTGTCCACAGTTATGTCAAGTTTGGTTTTAGAAGTGGAGGTGGTGGTACTGCCTACCCCACAGGGTGGTTGTGAGGTGGAGTGAACTCTAAAATGGTGGGCCCTGCTGCAGAGTCCTGGCGTGGGAGCCCTGTTGCCAGCATCTACCTAGCGGTGGCTGTCATTACTTCTCTGTGTCTCTCTTCACCTGTTGCTCCCTGTATGCCTTGGTGTCTTCTATCTCTGGAACTCCTGTTTGCTTTTCCAGTTGGGGTCACAGTGACCTTGGGCTGAGCAGAAGAGAGGGGCCCTTTGGGTATGGGGTCAGGTTGTATCTTCAGAGTATCTGGTTCCCTCTCCTTCTGTCCCTCTTTCTTTTCCATCCTGGGCACACTTTGGCAGATGGTGGACTGTGGGGATCAGGAGAAACATTAGGTGACAGGAGTAGCCAGGGTGGGGCTGGTTCTGCCATCAGGACAGAGGGATGGAGGTGGACTTCTTTGTCTCAGGGGATTGGTCGTGGCCGTTCTGCACTTCCCAAGATCCTGACCCTCCATCACAGGGTTCCAGCCACTTCAAACCTAGAACTGGGCTTTGGTGGCAGTGGTTTGATTCTTGCTTGGCAAAACCTGTTAGCCACTTACTCTGGAGGTGTTCACATAGACACGGTGACCCACCAGCAGCTGTCCCGGATGATAATTCACTGCTTTGTTTTCTAGCTGATTGCTGAGGAAGGGGTGGACAGCCTGAACGTCAAGGAGCTGCAGGCGGCATGTCGGGCACGAGGCATGCGGGCCCTGGGCGTCACGGAAGACCGCTTGAGGGGCCAGCTGAAGCAGGTGCGTGAATACTTGCCTTATGCCAGGCCAGCATCGGCTCAAGGGAAACGTCAGCCTTGAAAGGCCACTTGGAGGCTTTTCTCAAACTCTGGGCGGGCCTGGCGAGGCGACACTCTGACCTCTCTGGGGACGGCTAGGATGTTTGGGCTGTTTCTCACCCTTCTGGTCTTATCACATTCACACCCCTGCATTCTCGCTTTTCATTGCCTTTTGAATATTGCTTTGATTTTTTCTTGTTTGCTTTTAGTTGATTTTAAAGACCTTAGTAACTTACTATTTTGATTATCTGTAGTCAGATGAGGACTAGAGTTCACCTCTGAGATGTCAGACATGTTCACATTTTGATTCTTTCTGAACTGGGGCCATGGAAGGTTTGGGTGGCATGGCGTGGTCTGACGTCTGGAGCTGCCCCCTCTCTTGGCCGTGCCCTGAGCAGGTGCCTGTTCCCAATGCCGTCAGATCAAGTGACTTGTAGGTTGGGCAGTGGGCCACTCACTCTTACATGGAAAGGTTAAGGGGTGCAGGGCTCCAGCCAGTTTCCTCCCAGTGCCCTGGCACTGGCATGCCCCTGTTGGTCGTCATCCTCCTGCCGGGTTTTTCACACAACCTGCAAGAGTAGATGAAAGTGTGTGAACACACTTCCCCTCTCGACACAGACAGTATTTATGGTGTGATCCTGTGGCACCCCCTGCCTTCCACAGCTGCGTCTTCCATCGATTCCCCAGCAGAGCCTTCTCTGTGTCTGGCATGGGTGCTAACCTCCCTAGCACTCTGCCCAGCCTTCTGGAGCTCCGTGGGGACATGGGCCACACACACAGGGGCATCTGAGCAGGGGGGCAGATGCCGTCCCTTCCCAAGCCCGTCAGCCCCCAGGGGAGTGTGGTGCATTGGGGGCCCGAGTGTCATGTGTTTACACTTTCCTTCTCTACCCACCTCTCAGCGTTGCCTTTCTTCTCTTAGGGTTTGTTCTCATGTTTTGCCCCATGTTCAGTTTGTCTCCAAACATTGTCACGGTCTTTCTTGCCCATTTGGAGGATTGTCTTGGTGTCACTCAAGCAGCCAGTCCCAGAACCTGGTCTGTGCAGAGCCTGGGGGGGCCTGAGTGCTGACCGGCCTCAATGGCACTGCCTCTGCGGGCCCATTATATGTTGACCTGGGCTGGTTTTCTTTGTTTGAGACAGAGTCTTGCTCTGTCACACAGGCTGGAGTGCAGTGGCGCGATTTCAGCTCGATAAAATCTCTGCCTCCCTGGTTCAAGCAATTTTTGTGCCTCAGCCACCCAAGTAGCTGGGACTACAAACGCGCCCCACAATGCCTGGCTAATTTTTGTATTTTTAGTAGAGATGGGGTTTCGCCATGTTGGCCAGGCTGGTCTCTAACTTCTGACCTCAGGTGATCCGCCCACCTGGGCCTCCCAAAGTGCTGGGATTATAGGTGCCCAGCCCCTGGGGTGTTTTTAAGTGGAGAGTTGGTGCCCTGTTCTGAGGCCCTTGGGGTCCTCGCTGTGGGGGCTGTTGACCCCTGAGCCTCTCTGGTGTTTTGTTTACTAAGGCCGTCATCGGATCACACAGCAGAGCAACAAATAGACCTTTTAGAACTTGAGACACCATCTTCTCTGAGGGCTCTTCTGGTGATGAGATGGGTTGACCTGCTGTGTTGGCGGTGGGGTTGAGGGGCTGCCCATCTGCTGAATGTGGCTTTGGTTGCAGTGGCTGGACCTGCACCTGCATCAGGAAATCCCCACATCACTGCTCATCCTGTCCCGGGCCATGTACCTCCCGGACACCCTCTCTCCAGCCGACCAGCTCAAGTCCACACTGCAGACCCTCCCAGAGATTGTGGTACGTGCTGTCGGAGACCCCTTTTACCTCATCACTTCATAGCTGGCCCCGCTCTTCTGGGGTGGCTTTTCTGTGGTCGGGGGAGGCGTGCAAGAGCGCTCATTCCTCAACCATGGGCAAGGAGCCCCCCACCCACACAACCTCCCCTCTACCCCCTTGCTATTGCCCCCACCCAGCCACCTGTCCCCTTCCTTCCAACCCTCTTCACCGGCCCCTAGCCTGCCATCCCCCGTGTGGTCCTGACCTGGCCACATGTTGGCTGCTGTGGATCCGTGCTACGGCCCTTGGAACTGTGTCAGCAGCGCCTGTGCTCCTTCCCTGCACGTCAGGAGTCACCGGGCGAGCACAAAGGGTGGCCCAGAGGACTCCCAGCAATTGCAGGCGGCACCTCGGCAGTGCCTTCTGTCCTGTGTGTGAAGCCCAGCTGGTGACAGGGGCAGAGGACAGAGGTTAGGGGCAGCAGGGGCCTCTGGCAGTTTCTGGGGCTCACTCACAGGTGTACCCTCTTCTGAAGGCAAAGGAAGCGCAGGTGAAAGCAGCCGAGGTGGAGGGCGAGCAGGTGGACAACAAGGCCAAGCTGGAGGCCACGCTGCAAGAGGAGGCGGCCATCCAGCAGGAGCACCGCGAGAAGGAGCTGCAGAAGCTCTCGGAGGCAGCGGTAAGCGGTGGCCCTGCTCCGTGGGGCATGAGGCTGTCCTGACCCAGCCTCCCTAGAAACCCCACAAGCCCACAGTCTTGGCCTCCCGCGTGCTTGGCCCCCCACGTGCGTGGCCCTATAGCTCTGTCCTGCATTTTTATTTCCCCCTGGAGTGGTCAGGGAGACAGGGTGCCCGGGTGTGGTGGCTGCAACTCTGACTTTCTGACTTTGGGACTCCCTCATGGCCACGGTGGTGCTCGTGGGAGATGTACCTTAGCCGTCTCAGAGGGGCAAGCTTAGCACACAGCAGTGCCCACTCTCTCCTCAGGGACTTGCTGTGAGGGGTGCTGGCAGAGGAGCCTCAGACTCCCCCAGGCTCTGGGCTCCTCTTCAGCGCGGGCCCTGTGGTCCTCTTGGGTCACATGCATGGTGCCCACCCACAGGCTCAGCCTCCTCCCCTGCAAGTGACAGGACAGCTTGGTGGAGTCATGGGGAGACCAGAGATGGGTGAGGTGCTCTAGCCTGTTCCAGAGAGGGCCCCAGGTGACCTGGCAGCTGCATGGAGCCTCCCTAGGGACCTCCTGTGGCAGGTGTGCTGCCCGCTGTCACCGGCAGGCCTGCTCCCAATGTGGCCTCTGCCATCCATTCTGAGCATCGGGGATTGAGAAGTCTGCTTCTGTGTGACGGCGGGCGCCGGGCCGGTGTTGCCTTGCCTTTCAGAAGGATGTTGAGCCCGAACGTGTGGTAGCCGCTCCCCAAAGGCTAGGGGCTGAGCTGCAGCCAGAAGTGTCCGACACAGTCCTGCGGTCAGAGACCCTGAAGGACACTGCCCCGGTGCTGGGGGGCTTGAAGGTAACGAGGCAGGTTCTGGGGCACTGGAGGCTGAGGAGGGCGTGGCCTGGCTTTGTGGACAGTTGTGGGGCAGGGATGGGGACAGGTTAGCTGGGGCACCTATAGCCCTCAGTGAGAGGAGATGGTGCAAGGGGTTGAGGATGAGGCCAGTGGGCCCCTGGGAGGCTTGGTGGTTGGGAAGAGAGTGAGTCCGGCTGGGCTCTGCACTGTGCCTGGGTGCACGACAGCTGAGGCTGCCAGGAACTTGGCACCCTGGCCCACAGTGTGGCAGGTAGAGATGCCAGTCGGCAGGTTTCAGGGCCCTTTGTCAGCTTGCCCAGACAATGGAGGGCAATGTGGCCCCTCAAGGTGAAGCCTCCTCCACAGGCCCAACCTGCTGTCACCTCCTGTGGGGTGATCTGGGCTTGCGGCATCTTCAGACTCCCTATGCCAGCCTGTGAGGTGCAGCCTCCAGGCACCTGTGCTGCCTACATGGGATGCCTCCTGGTGCCTTCCATCTTAAACTCGCAGGCTGGAGGGCAGTGACGCCATCTCGGCTCACTGCAGCCTCTGCCTCCCAGTTTCAAGCAACTCTTCTGCCTCAGCCTTCCAAGTAACTGGGAGTACAGCCGTACACCACCAGACCTGGCTAATGTTTGTATTTTTAGGAGAGACGGGATTTCACCATGTTGGCCAGGCTGGTCTCAAACGCCTGACCTCAAGTGATCTTCCCGCCGCAGCCTCCCAAAATGCTAGGATTACAGGGGTGAGCCACCATGCCCAGCCATAAAAAAAATTTTGGGGCCAGGCGCAGTGGCTCACACCTGTAATCCCAACACTTTGAGAGGCCGAGGTGGGCGGATCACGGGGTCAGGAGATTGAGACCATCCTGGCTAACATGGTGAAACCCTGTCTCTACTAAAAATACAAAAAATCAGCCAGACATGGTGGCATGCGCCTGTAGTCCCAACTACTCAGGAGGCTGAGGCAGGAGAATGGCGTGAACCTGGGAGGTGGAACTTGCAGTGAGCAGAGATTGCGCCACTGCACTCCAGCCTGAGCAACAGAATGAGACTCTGTCTCAAAAAAAAAAAAAAAAAAAAATTAAACTTTTTAGCAAATCAAATAGAACTATTATGTAAAAAGAATCATGATTACATGGGATTTGTCCAAAAAATACAAATTGGCTTGAATTTTTTTTTTTTTTTGAAATGGGATCTCACTCTCTTGCCCAGTCTGGAGTGCAGAGACGTAACCTCGGCTCACTGAAGCCTTGACCTCCCAGGCTCAAGTGATTCTCCTACCTCAGCCTCCTGAATAGCTGGGATTATAGGTGCCCACCACCACACCTGGCTAATTTTTGTATTTTTAGTAGAGATGGGGTTTCACCATGTTGGCCTGGCTGGTCTCGAACTCCTGGCCTCAGGCGATCCTCCCACCTCGGCCTCCCTAAGTGCTGAGTTTATAGGCTTGAGAGACTGCGTCTGGCCAAAATTTTTTTAAATGTAATTTCCACATTAACAGACTAAATTGGCCAGGCGCGATGGCTCACGCCTGTAATCCCAGCACTTTGGGAGGCCGAGGCAGGTGGATCATGAGGTCAGGAGATCGAGACCATCCTGGCTAACACGGTGAAACCATATCTCTACTAAAAATATAAAAAATTAGCTGGGTGCAGTGGTGGGCGCCTGTAGTCCCAGCTGCTTGGGAGGCTGGAGAATGGCGTGAACCCGGGAGGCGGAGCTTGCAGTGAGCCGAGATCACACCACTGCACCCCAGCCTGGGCAACAGAGCGAGACTCCATCTCAAAAAAAAAAAACAACCAACTAAATTAGAAAAGCCGGGAATGTTTTATCTCGGTAGCTGCAGAAAGAGCATATGGCAGAACCCAGTATCCGTTCCTGATACGCAGATGTCCTGCACACGTGGGCAGCTTTCTCAGCCCAGTCAAAAGCATCCGCTGAAACACCTCTAGCTGCCATCACCCTCAGTGGTGAGATGCCGATAAGGGTGTCTGTCCTCAGCTCAGCATCAGCTGGTGTCTGAGCTCAGCATCAGCCTGGGGGTTTCAGTCAGGGCAGTAGGATACAGAAAACAAAACCATATAGATCAGAAAGGAAAAAGAAAAACCCTTTATTTACAAATGGTGTGAACATCAATTGTGCTTCACTATGGTAATGAGTAGTCAGAGAAGGTTTGAACGGTATGGCACCCCCCGAAATGAACTACTTAGGGATAAATTTGGAAAAAGATGTGCAAATGCTGTCCACGAAGTGCTTGCTGTAAAGTGTTGCTGAGGGAAAGAAAAACCCAACAGAGGGGCTGGGTGCGGGGCCCACACCTGTGATACCAGCACTGTGGGGGGCCGAGGTGGGAGGATCATCTGAGCCCAGGAGTTTGAGACCAGCCTGGGCAACATAGTGAGACCCCATCTTTACAAAACTTTAAAAGTTGGCCAGACATGTCAATGTGTGCCCGTAGTCCCAGCTCCTGGGGTGGCTGAGGCAGGAGACTGCTTGAGCTTGGGCGATCAAGGCTGCAGCAAGCCATGATTGCACCACTGCACTCCAGCCTGGGCAACAGAGACCCTGTCTCAAAAAACAACAAGAAACACACGACCACAGGAGCACATCTCAGAATAAGTGAGGGAGAGAAGCCAGACAAAAAAAGAGCGTGCACTGGCTGATCCGTCTATTTCAGATGCTAGAAAACGCACCCAAGTCTGCCATGGCAGGAGGTGGACCTGAGGTTGCCAGGGGTGGGCGGCGGGTCCCAGTGGGGACATGAAGATGCATTTGGAGGTGACTCTTTGACTGTAGTGAAGGTTTCACAGTACATGTGTCAATTCATAGATGACACGCTTTAAACAAATGCAGTTCGGCATATGAGGGCAGACGGTGACTGCATGCATGCAGCCAGCATAGCACTGAACCTGAACCCTGCTGGTCTCTTGTTACCAATGAGTGTCCAGTGAGACTCTTGCCCTGGGCTGTCCATATAATATGAACAGAGCAGCCGGTCACTTGGGAACAGGCTAGTTCTTTCCCTTGGCTCAGGCTTTATTATTTGACCATTTTTATCTCAGGAGGAACAGATCACTAAGGAGGAAATTGACATCCTCAGCGATGCCTGCTCTAAGCTGCAGGAACAGAAGAAGTCACTCACCAAGGAGAAGGAGGAGCTGGAGCTGCTGAAGGAGGACATGCAGGACTACAGCGAGGTGGGTGGGATTTGCTCCCTGGACTCTGAGACTGCAAGAAGAGTAAAATCGCTGTACTGGCCCCAAAAGTATTACATAATACTTCCGTCAGATACTCGATAAGCTGGCCAGAGAGGATTTGGAGAGGAAAGCAAATTATAAATAAACCTTATACAGTAACTTTTCCATAGCCATTCTGGCTGGACCAATCTTCTAGAATGTGGCTGTGTGCCATTCTGGCCACAGATGCATGTGCACTTTTTTTTTTTTGAGAGAAGGTCTTGCTCTGTTGTTCAGGCTGGAGTGCAGTGGCACAATTTCAGCTCACTGCAACCTCCACCTCCTGGGTTCAAGCAGTCTTGTGCCTCAGCCTCCCGAGTAGATGAGACGACAAGCATGTGCCACCACGCCCAGCTCAATTTTTTGTATTTTTAGTAGAGACAGGATTTACCAGGCTCATCTCGAATTCTTGGCCTCAAGTGATCCACCTGCATCGCCCTCCCAAAGTGCTGGGATTACAGGTGTGAGCTGCCGTGCCTGGCCACATCTTTTAGTCTCTAAACATGGGAAGGTGTCTCATGAAGAGTTTGGTCACTTGATGATGAAATCTTATTCATGATTATGTAAAAGTGGCTTTTCTTTTCTTCCATGGTGAATTTTTTCTTTTTTTTTTTTTTTTTTTTTTTTTTAAATATTACTTCTTAATACGATTTTGAGACGAAGTCTAGCTCTGTTGCCCAGGCTGGAGTGCAGTGGCGTGATCTCGGCGGCTCACTGCAACCTCTACCTCCTGGGTTCCAGTG